GTTCTCAAGGCTTTTGACACACCACAGTTGGAAACATATAAAGTGGTGGATCTCCACTGCCTAAGCAAGAAAAGCGCCTTCCGGAGAGTTGGCGGGAAACGGCGAGGAAATGAATCTTGGAAATGTGGATAAACTCTAGTCTAAAGGTCTCCGCCAGTCTAACCTTTTCCCCCTCAACTGACCTAACAAACTAGGTGACCTGGTAAAAGTATAAAGATTTTTCACCAGATTAACCATAAGAATAAACACTCGCCAATACCTAGGAATGCACTACTATGTCGGAACAAGGCTACAATAGACCACCAAAGAGCTGAGATCAAAATTAGACCCTGCTTCTTTTTTGCTAAGACTTCGTGCACTATAAAACGCTTCACCACAGAAAGTAGCAGTGGTTTACACATTGGAGTCACTCAAAAATTGCTAGATAAATACATCAATGCCCATGGTTTGTCAGCAACCTATGCAGAGATTCACTGACCGCACTCTTCCACCATCACACTCACACACCACCGGCCGACGATTTCCTCATTCTGGACCTGAAAGTGACGCATGATGTTACCACAAGTGGATCCCCTCATCCCGACACTTTCCATCACAAGACCGCTTTTTTCTTTTGCCTCTTTCATAATTCAAGCTAGTTTTCATGACCTTAGACTCTCACATAAACTGGATTCTCAAGACGGTCATCCAATTCCCCAGTATCTCCGTCTATCCCCCAGATACTTGGCCTATAAACCAAAAAGAAAAACAACTCACAGACACCCGAACCCGGTAGGGCATGAGTAACTCATGCATCTACCGAGGCAACCAAGTCAAGAGGGAAATACACAGGCTTAAGAAACAAATGCACAAGGTCCGAAACTCACTTTGCGATACTCACCTTAGAATTTTTGGAAACAGGTTTGTGGAGATGAATCTTGCTTTGAAAGATGCGTTTTTCGCTCTCCTCTGCTCTGTCCAACAAAACCCACATTTCCAACTATCTACTGAGAGCTTTCAACTCTATGTCCAATGATTCTGCCACAGTTCTGTAGCAGAAAGTACAGCTGCTTACTTGGTTACCGCTATAACCACCCGGCCGGACAACTGTGTGATAGGTCTAGCTGTCTCGATTAACTGTCACAGCTGAGGTTGTTGAATCTGTCGCAAAATATATCTCACCCCCTTCTTACGCCCAGGACTTGCTGGTAGCTTTTGGAATTCGATAGAGCCGCATTACCAAACAACCAAAGGTAAGGTGGGTAATCTGCTGAGTGCCTGCTTCCTATATTTATTACCCCGCTATTTTCGGTAACCCCGTAATCACTTTCATTTATTTATTAATATGCGTAGTAAAAGTGTGTCACGTTAACAAAAATCGGTCTTTGAAACACCTTAAGTACGGCTTCACTACAGTCACTGACCGTCTCATTTTCGGCAGTGATTACGGGGGCAGGGCTAGGATTGGCCAAAAGGTGATAGAGAAAGCTCCGAAGAATGTCAACCCACCACTCAGGTCAAACGCTTACGGCTCTCAACATGCCAGGTTGACCAAACCTCTAATCTTTATAGTATTGTAAGCATCGCTGTCCTCAGCCAAGGAAACTCAGAATCCCGCTGCTAAGCCCAGGACTTACCTCAACCCACCGGTGGAAACCACCGAGCAGAAACGTCAGGGAGTAGGATGGAAGCATTCTGCCAAACCTCATGAACACGTCGATGACTGTCACACGTGTGCTCTCCCTGCAACCAAAAACAATAAAGCCTTTGAGTGCAACGGTTGCAACAAGTGGGTGCACAGTCAATATGATAACGCAGCACCGGATCAGTACCACACTTTTATGACGCTCCATCCACGCATGTGGTTTCGGTACATCTGACCATAGTGCCGTCTGAGACTGCGCCTAACTTCAGGCTCACTTAGGGTGGCTGATGAACGCCTAGTAACCGCTGAAAAGCGAGTATCCATCCGGGTCACCACCACCGAGCAAATTCACCCTTCAGAGGTAGTTGACAATGGCCCACGGAAGGTCACAAACTTGCGCGGTCCGAAACCGAACAAAAAACTGACTAAAAAGGGCAACCAAATTCATCCCAAGCCCAGGGGCCATGTCAGTGACAGCCACCAGTGGATAACGTGACAAACTAGTCAGGGTGGAGAAGAAGGGTTGAGCTGCGCATGAAAACCCACCAATGGCGCCGCACAGTTTGGTTATCACTGACCGATCACATTCCGTCACTCTATTTAACGTTCCTGTAGCCAGTGGCGGCTTTCTGTAGCACAAGGACACGTTTGACAGGTGGCAGCGGGACTCCCTATGTGTCATGCCAGGCCCAGGCGTTCTCGAGGTAAGACTGTGTCGACTGCCCAGTGGCGCTGATTTCCTCAGGGAAGCCTACACCAACAAGAGTGACTCTATGTCCGACCACGAAGGCCAAAAGGTTCCTCTTACACTCACACATGCTTTTTGTCGACAGATCATCCGGCGTTCGAGCTGGGCCCCACTGATCAGTGGTGGCGAGAAAGACACTTCAAGAGGCAACCTATCCACAGGGACCCAAAACCATGGTCATACGTGGAACACCTGAACTAACAACCAATACTGCAGAAGATGATATGCACACGTGTGACGTCCAGCAACAGGAGTGGTCATCAGGATGGATAGGTCTAAGTGGGGTTGCAGTGGAGGGAATCGGCAAGCTGTTACGTCCCCTGCATCTGACAACCATGGCCTCACCCAGGTTAGTAGCTGTCGACTTCATATCCCCAGAAGTTCAAACTACAGTGCTGGAGACGCTGTATAGAGTCAAGAGTGCCGTAGTCAGGAGTGTTTGCTGTCGCGAAAGCGGACCCAGAACACCGCGACAATCACGAACAGCAGTTACCCTCATGCCCAGGTTGCCAGAACCTGACAGTGACATGTTGATAGCCGGACCGGAACCCCCCCCCCCCCGAACAATGGCTGCACCAGTCAGCTCTGGAAAAAACCGAACGGGGCCAGTTACATTGGGAATGATCGGTCAGTGAAAACCTCCACCGCATCCAATCTTGTCCTGTTAGCTAACCCAGGGACATCTCACGCTGTGAGAAGCACTTCCAAGTGGCTTTACATGCAGGTTCATACCAGAGTGAAAATGCATCAGCCTTTCTTCTATCATCAGAGGAGACAGGCGGAGCCTGAACTGCTACCGATCCATAGCAATCTAACCAGTAACATCAAAAGTTATGGAAAGTGTGACAGATGACCACATCGACGAATACCTGGACACAAAGCAAGCACTCAGTGGCGCTCAACAGGGCTTCCAAAATAGTGGGTTTTGTGCCCCCAATCTCCTGACAGCCCATGACCACTCCCCCGAATATTATGGATTTCGCCAAAGCCTTTGGCACAGTCTCGTACCTCATCTTGAACCAAAATGACTGAGTTGGGTACCTGCTACTAGGTCTTGTCGTGGTTGCGGAACTACTTGAATAGTGGGGAGTTCTGCATGAAAGTCAGCAGGGTCTGCTCATCGCTGGGTGTCTCACAAGGATCAATTTTAGGTCAACTGTCGTTCCTACCTGTCGTCAATAAGCTCCCACCCCACATTAGCCCTCCTATTCTCCTGTACGCTGCTGACATCAAGCTACTGAGAACGGTAATATGGGAGACGGAATGGAATACACTACAGAGCGATCTCAAAATACTCGAAGAGTGGAAGAAAAATAATGAGCTAGCACTTAACCTGGACGTATGCAAGTCCACATTTTTCCTCTCCTGATTCGCAGAAAGCATCCATGTCTCCCTCTCACCCTCCATGGTTCACATCTTTCCCACACCGTAGCGGCAAAAGACTTGGGTTTGATGATGATAATGAAACTGGAACCAGTTTACCTTGCCCATTAGACTCCCTAAAACCATTCGTCGTGCCACATTTAGTGCACAGGCAAATAGGCGCCTCCGCCCCCAGGGCTCTATTTGAAATTTTAGAGGACCTATACACTACCCCACCTATAGGTCCACAACGTTTTCGCGACCCAACACCAGAAGAGAGTCACTAACCCACCGAAGAAAGTTTAGAGGTGAACCACAAAGCGTTGCAGGGATGCGCCAAAATGCATACAGGGATAAACTGAAATACCTGGGCCTATAGTCCTTTAGTTACCGGTGAATTGACAGTGGCTTACAAACCACTAAAATACCCGAGTGATGCGAACACAGGAATACTGCCGAGTGGTCACTATCGTGATCCTTGTGAAAGCCCAAAGAGGGCTGCCCGCCAGAGGTCAAAAACTTTTGTTTGTCCACATGTTTTCCTCCTTCGAGCCTGGGAGCACTGGAATGCACTACCAACAGAGGCAGTCTGCGCCCCAACCATCGATAGTTTCGGGAAAAGGCTTTACAGTTGCTCAATGACCTACGGTTTACGCTCATCTAGTTAAAATGCGAACTTAACTGATGAAATCAGCTTCTGCCACATCATTCGAAAAGTGTCACCCCCGCACCAATCCACTTCCTGCTCCAATCACCTAAGCCATTTCCATTCCCTTTACTCGCTATGGGCTAACCCAGCTCACCTAATTTCTGAAAATCTTTGTGCCCCTCTAGTCTCACTTCGGCGTAAGTAGATTACCCTGTCATCTCAATTTTTTTGTCTTTCACCCACATACATTTGTCTTCCTAGGTTATCTCTTCAATATCCTTAACTATCTCTTATGACCAGTCAAACTGTCTGGCAGCCCAAAATATGCAGAACCTAACCACCCGTTGTGCATACCACAGCTACAGCAGACGAGTGGCTGAATGTGCAGCATTAGTATCCTTTAAACCTGGAATCTTTCCGCAAGACCTTGAAACGAGCATGAAGAAGCCGACTGGTTTACACAAGCACATCAAACAGGTATTGGGTATTAGATAACAGTGGAACGTAAAGAAACAACGTAGTCTAAGATATACGCCAGGGAGCTGTGAGACTGAATTTTATGTCGTGTGCTTGCCATCTCCATTGCTAGATGGATACGTCAGTTTTTGTTTGTAGGCATGGCAATTGTTGCCAAGTTTCAGGGTCATGACCTTGTTGGCTCAGTTTATCAGACGATTCTTGTGAATGTTTTTGTTTGCATTCTTTAAAGCGTAGTCTGTTTTATTCTTATCACAAAATTTTTCTCCTCGCAAGACTCATTTATTTTCCGGGAGATATTCCCAGCTGGCTATTTCGATGAAGATTGTGAAATAGATTTGGGTAGTGCTTTTGTAGTGATAGCAAGAAAACTATGGCGAAAGCTTACAAATCATCTACCCTAAAGTTTTAATTACTGGCTACAACCAATATGTAAATACGCTCTATGAATTCCGGTGATATCTGGAATCACCTACTTTATATTTGAAGATCTCAAGTTACTTCAAGAATACGAAAATATGTCCACTAGCGTTTGAAATCTGTCCTTCTCTGTAGGGGTGAACACGTGGACAATTTCATTGTAATTGTAGGATATTCTTTCTCATTCGCAAAAATCAAACCATTGGGATGTCTCTCGGCATGTTTGATCCGTTGAGAATGGTTTCTTACTGCTGTCTCTTTGTCGGGGAGGCGTTCTTTTTTTTGTGGGTGTGATGTCCTGTGAGTAAGTGTACTTATTCGTCAGTGTTCGCGGTAGAATCGAGAACTCGTGCGGATTACCATCGACTCACTGAATGACATTTATCCATGGTACTGTAGAATGAATATATATCCAGCATGTATTATTTAATTATGTATTTGCTATAGTGACAGCTGCTTTCTATGGTAATTTTGCGCTTATCAAGTCCAAGATTTTCGATGCACTTTTTACTACCTGAAGTCAAATAAGTCAGGAAGAGAGAACTGATAATTTGTGTTTTTGTCCACGACAGCGCCAAACTATGGGTCTAAATCCCTAGACCTTGGCATTCAATTCGAATGTATTGAGTTCCATTTATTGGTAGCACTGCGAAGAGGACGTAGTCTCCCGCTTTTTGATAATTTAATTCCCGGCAGATGAACGTCAGAAGCCAAACCCTAGCTTTTTAAATGTGATGTGTAATTTCATGCAGTTAATCTTATTTTTTTCTGAACTTCAACTGCTAGCTTTCGATGAGAATAGTTATAACACCTTGGTCATTGTTACAAGTGTCTTTTTCCACATCAAAGATCTAAGTCTTGAAGAGAATCGCATTATTTTAAGCATGAAAAGAACAAAAATTTGTATACTTTCAGTTTACCAAAAGTCAGTAAATAACCCATTTGCCTTTAGTCGGTCATTTCAAGGAAGGCAGAAGTTTCCAATCCTACCATGGCACGTATTTTCTTATTTACTGCACACTGTTTTAAATTACCACACTTCGGTATGCGAAGACATAGTAGAAAAAAATTTCGAAAATAATTCGATTTTACATCTGTGAACAGAGGAGTACCACACGAGCTACTAAATTAAACCTGAATTCTACTTACAGTAAAATGTATGAACAAATCCAAATTATCTTTAGTCACGCAATCACTAAAATTTGTTTGTTGCCATTTCAATCGGTTGGTGCACTACCTAACGCTATGGTTAATATCATTGTTTGAAACGCTTCAGTGTATTTACCGATAAACGTCCAGGGATTCCAACAAAGCTGGTTGTTCGTGTCCAAATAAGCGTTCACGCACAGGTTTGCGTACTACACTATAAACCTACTATTGCTACCTGATTAGCTTAACAGAAGTAGGTGAAGCAGGTATAAAACCTTCAAGCCGGATTTTAAGTCGTTGAAAATTGACAAGTTGCAGATGTAAATTACGAAGATTATTACCACTCACTTATTTGCAACATCAACTCTATACAACACGGGCACCAAGAGATGCACTAAACAAAATAAAGCAAGGAGACACAGAAATGGGAAGAAGAGCGTAAACGGGTTATTAAAAAAAGAATTTCACACGCACACCAAAAGGCTCTGACTAATTCCATTTTACTCTTTAGTAATGAAAGAAGCAAATAATCTGCAACATGGTCGCCACTAGTTTCGATTCTAAACCACGTTTGCTATCATCTCGTACCACTGATTTATCTGTTTTTACAGACTTCATCCAGGCAGTCGTGATGAACCAACCGAACACGTATCCTTCATCTTACTGTGATACATCATACACCGCCATCCTTTCCACTTCAAATTGGTAGGGTATGGGGAAACAGCAGTGTGTGATTGGTTGAAACGACCTACGTAACACACACAAAAGCCACCATTGCTGATATTTCAGAGTATCTTCAGTGTTATAATCCCTATCACTTCCAAACCTGCGTCACCAAATCTGGGGGTTACTTATGTGGTGTTTCAAACGTATGCTGGCATTTTTGATGAGACAGATGATGGGATATTCAGCACCGTGGAACATCCTCATTTTGAAGGGGCCAGGTTTCACAGATATAGAACAGAACTGCCCATATCGATGCATTGTATACCCGAACTTTTGGAGCTAGGCTAACACCAGAATGGTGTGAAGTGTAACCCAGTTTGACGTATGACAGTCTGGCTTTCGATTTACGGTTGGAAATCCCATCAGGCACACAATACCATTCACGCAACTACCCAGGTACACAAACCTTTCTACGACTACTAAGGTTGAGTGCAGGAAAAAGCTACTACCAATCTTGTAGAAGTACTTTTTGCTTTGAACACTGATCGTCAACTGATTGAGTACAATGTGAGTAGACTGTACGTTGTCCTACAGTAAAACGATGCCGTCTGCATACCCGAGGTGTAAAGGTATTTCACCTGGTAACAGTCCTACACCACCACTACACCTCTAGATCTGTTTCGAGAATGTCATCGATGGCGAAATTCAATAGGAATGGCAAGACCATGCACCCCTGCCAAACCCTACTGTTGAGAGAGGCAGTTTTCCTTTTCTACTTTGTGTGTTTGTGTATGAAGCTTACGTAGTGTCAGCAAGTTTCCTGGGTATACCCTTCTAACAGACAATTCTGGAGTACACCCCTGTTTAACGAATCAAAGACAACCCTAATATTGAGAAATAACGAATTCCAACCTACAATGCGAAGACATAGAGTGTTAGAATTTCGAGGTTGTTTGTGGTGTACAACACTTCTCTGTCTATTTCTGAATGATTGCGTTCAGTTCGACCCAACCTAAAAAAGTGGTGTTGAATCAGCAGGGAGGATTCCCAAAGGTCTAGCAACGAAAAGATAGAATTTGCCTAGCCTAGTCTCACTGGAAGTTTGGTCATTGTTCTCTGTGTATGGACAGTGAATCCCGTTGGAAACTAGTCCTATGCAGGATTTCATCCCCCACTATTACATATGAGAAGGATATCGATCTATGTCAGTCTTGCTGTTAGATGCGAAAACTAAATTCATAAAATTTATCTTCTTAATAAGGAACTGTCATTTCTTCGTGACCGATCACCATTTTCTATGGTTCAATTTTATCAGATGAAATCAGACAAATTGTATTAGTTCTAGTCAGTGTCAGAAGTGAACAACAGCAGATCTGGGAGGAATTATATTTCCCAATTTTTATTTTCTTTGACTCAGTTATGATTTCAGAATTCACTACATTTTTGCTGTCACGATCTTTTTAAAATTAAAATGGCTGAAAAAACTATACGTGATAGAACAACCATACTGTTTTTTAGTGGGAAAGAAATATAAATGCTGAAAACTTTCACTCTTAATGACTATTTAAGTATATGGAAGCCTCTAGATAGCTTCTCAGTCTCTTAGTTTCTAAGGCATTTTCATACTACCGTTACTTTTATTTATTTCCAGGTCTAATCTTATTTTTCAGTGTTATTTTAGCACAGCTTACATAGATGATGGGTTGTTTTACGTAAGTAGAAATAGTACTAAAGGTAAAGTAGCTTGGGTGTGTATTCTCTCGAAATAAGATCCCTGTACTGCACAACAGTGTTTTCACCGGTAGTAAGAATCGAAAACTGCCTGCACTGATAATATAAGTTGGGTCTGCTCAGTTGTGTGGCGTTTAGAATCATATGGCTTATGTTTTCTTTTTTATGATCAGTAATTTCATTCGCGTTTATTTCAGACCGTTATTTCGGTGACATTCTATAGGTAACTAATATTGACAGTGTAACCGATAGGTACTGAGTCCTGAACAGAAGAAAGTACCACATACTTTGTTTGGGCGTTGATAAACACGCCATCGCCGGTAGTTGGATAAGACCCACTTCACTGCCTTTTTACTGATATGAGCTGTTGCGATTCGGACCGCTATGCAGTAATGCATGGTCCTATGTTGTTGTTATTCATGATGACGGTGATGATGATGATGATGATAGTTAAGTAAACGGTCACTAGAAACCACTATAAAGTAGTTGATAAGTCCTACTGAACAGAGCTGAAAGTCAGTAGCCTCAACATGATTTGCACCCACTTCTTAAAAAATCGTAACCTATTATACCTTATTCAGTAGAGGCTTTATAGTAAATAAGTCGACATAGGTGCTGGCACACTTCAGAGCAGTGAACAGAAAAAAAGTATGACATCCAAGTAGACAAACGTTTGAGCGAAGAGGAAGCAAAAGAACTAAGTGAAGGTTATGGAAGATGTTCAAGGTCTTATTATTATTTGTCCTTTAGGTTCCTAGTGGAACACACAACTTCAATTGCACGTCTCCATTCCACTCTGTTCCATGCAGTCTTTCGGACCGGGCTTCACGACTGCCCACAACCTTTCATTTCTTCCTCACATGATATCCTCCATGTCATCCTCGCCTCAGACGCCCAACTCGTCATTTCCCATTTGGATTCCACTCGACGGCCTCACCCGACGCGTGATGTCCCCAAATGGTCTTCTCAGTGAGCGTATGCCCCATCCAATCCATCTCCACTTTATTCTGTATATTTGTTGCGCGATGGGTTCTTAGTTGGCTCGTTGCCCGGCCAGAGTGAGTTCCTTGTTCCTTATTCTTATCATTCTGGCCATCTGATCTTCAGTGTCGAGTGAGCGTAGGTGGCAGATGCTGACGAATGTCTGTAGTTTGTTGGAAATGCTTTTCGTAACGCGCCGAGTTTCTGAACCATATAGCAACACTGAATTACTTGACTGAATTAGTGTTGAAAATCC